CACCGCTGACTATGACTTTAGAAACCAAGAAGACGGATGATCAACCACCCAAACTGGAGCCGATGCCGCACGGTCCACCGAAGTTGGAGCGTGAACTTAGCTTTGGTGATTCCTCTAAACTAAAAGTACACTTGAAGGAAGAACCAGAGGAAGAAGAGTCTTTTCACCTACCCCGATTGTTTGCCGAAGCGTCCCATCTGAAAACTACACCCAAAGCGAGGAAAAAGAAAACAATGGCGAGTACAAGCACACCGCGTTCGAAACCCAAATGGACTCCCTATTAATACGCACACACTACCCCGACTTAATCATTTGAGACTACCTCATCATGGAGTGCTGTCCACCGAAACCGGGTTGTGGATTTAAACAACTCGCGAAAAAATTCGTTGTTGGTGCATCTGCTGTCGCAGTAGTGTCATTATACAAAACACAGATTTAAGTGATGGCGCAGAACGAAACGTACCTGAAACGAGTGTACTACAACCCCCAACATCCAGCCGGTTTTGGTGGTGTGGAAGCTGTCTACCGTGCTGCCCAAAAAGACGGCGTCGACACCAACCGGAGTCAAATTAGAACCTGGTTAAGTCAGCAACCGACTTACACACTACACAAACCCATACGCAGGCATTTTCAACGGAACAGAGTCATCGTGGGTGGTATTGACCAGCAGTGGCAGGCGGATCTGGTGGACATGAGATCACTCAGTCGGTTTAATGGAAACTACAAATATTTGTTGACGTGTATCGATATATTGTCGAAATACGCCTGGGCAATTCCAATCAAGAATAAGACCGGTTCTTCGCTTATTGACGGCTTCAAGACAATCTTGAAAAGCGGACGGAAACCCACAGTTCTACAGACCGATAAAGGCACCGAGTTCACCAATCATCCATTCCAGTCATTTCTCGAAAAAAATAAAATTGGTTTCTTCACGACTCAGAATGAAACAAAAGCCAGCGTGGTGGAGAGATTCAACAGAACGCTCAAGACAAAAATGTACAAATATTTCACGGCCACAAACAGCCACGTGTACATTAAAGCTTTGCCGAAATTAATGACGGCGTACAATCACGCTTACCACCGAAGCATAAAGACCACCCCGGCCTCGGTAAATAGCGACAATGCCGAAACTGTATGGAGAAACCTGTACGACGAGAACAGTAACGCGGACAAACCCATTTCTTACAAGTTCAATGTTGGGGACACAGTGCGCATCAGTATGGCTGCACGACCATTTAGGAAAGGTTACCTTCCAAACTGGACCACTGAACTATTCACCGTTAGTGCTCGTATTCCGCGCCATCCTCCCGTGTACAAGTTGAAAGATTACGATTCCGAGGAGTTGGACGGGACATTCTACGAACACGAAATACAACCAGCGGTTCAATTGGGCGACCTGTACCAAGTGGAAAAAGTACTCCAGACGCGGAAAAGGCGGGGAAAATTGGAGTATTTTGTCAAGTGGTTGGGCTACCCAGGCAAGTTTAACAGTTGGGTGACAAGTCTGCGCAAGTTATAAAACGTCCGTGACGCGAGTATTTACCTACACAGTTAAAGCTAAGCTTCGTCATGGCGGACTCGTTTTACGTCACGCTCCCTAGCAACAGTTCTATGGATACTCACCCTAACAACACCTTGAGTCATTTTTTTGTAAATTTACCCTCACCCCTGTCTTTTGAGGGAGACTGGGAAGTGGCATTGGCCGAAGTAACTTACCCTCACCGTTGGTTGAACGTGACCGAAGGTAACCTGGTGGCGTGCTCGGGTGGAGAAACAGATTCCAGATTTCACTTTCATCGCGTACCGGAGGGGTACTACCCAACACCTGAAGAACTATTCGACAGCTTTGAACCTCCCATTGAGCACGACGGACAAGTCCGATTCAAGTACAACAAATTCATTCAAAAAGTCATCATAAAGACAAACGACAGCGTGGTGCTTAAATTACTGGGTCGTCTAGCGAACCTACTCGGTTTTGACGATGGTGCAACTGTGTCGGGTATCAAAAAGAGTACGAGGGTGGTGGACCTGCAGCCATTCTATGCGTTATTTATCTACTCTAATATTGTGGAGTACCACACCGTAGGAGACACGCGGGCCCCCTTATTACGCATCGTGAATGTGGACGGGAAGTATGGAGAAACCGTTACAAAAATCTACGACAGTCCTCATTACATGCCCCTGAAGCACAAGTTTTTGGACATGATCGAAATCAATATAAGGGACGGGACGGGTGAACTTATTCCATTTGTTACCGGGAGAGTCATCGTGAAACTTCACTTTCGAAAGAAGCGCTCGTCCTACTTCTATTAATCATCATGAAGAGTCATTACCTACCCAATAGTAAACACTACGAAGATTATTATGTCGGCCAGGTGGGGCGCAGTCTCCCCGTGTTCACTGGTCCGAGAAGTCAGAGAGGGTATGGACTTGGAGGGATTTTAAGCGGACTTTTCCGGTCGGCCATGCCTCTGATCAAACAAGGCGCTAAAACGTTGGGTCGCGAAGCGCTTCGTACCGGTGTAGGAATCGCGCAGGATGCGATGGAGGGAAAAAGTATCAAATCATCTGCCAAAAACCGACTTCGACACGCTGGACGTAATCTGGCCCACTCGGCTCTTCGAGGCGTGGATGCCCGACTCTCACGAGGTACACGACGTGGTATAAAAAGGAAAGCAAACGGCAGACGCGCCACTTCCTCTTCTAGCAGGAGAGTGAAAAGATCACAAGACATATTTGATTAAGCGTTTTGCAAGCTAACCCACAGTCAGTCATTATGTCGTTGTTACACAATAACTCGTGCGAATGCACTAAATCTGAACTTGATATTTTTCTTTACCACCAACACAAACGAGCATAGAACGTGGTCAGTGGCAGGAATTTCACCCGATTTCTACCATTTCTGATGGAGGACCGATAGAATTTTTCGTACCGGGATCCGGAGAAGAATACATGGATCTCAACCAAACCCAGTTGTACGTCAGAGCGAAAATCACCAAAGCGGACGGCTCCAACCTGACAGACGCCGACCACGTGGGTCCCGTCAACTTACTTCTACAGTCCCTATTCAGCCAGATTGATGTGAGTCTGAACGAACGTCTGATCTCCCCCTCCACACCTACCTACCCCTATCGCGCCATAATCGAAACACTGCTCAGCTACGGCAGCGATGCTCAAATCTCTCAGCTGACTGCCGCTTTGTTCTATAAAGACACCGCCGGCAAAATGGACAGCGCAAACCCTACAGCGGCAGACGATGCGGTCAACCATGGGCTGAAGAAGAGATACCAGTTTACAAAGGGAAGCAGCGAGGTGGACATGATCGGCCCGATTCACAGCGACATTTTCTTTCAAGACAAACACATGCTGAATGGCGTGGAATTGAAATTGAAACTGATTCGCAGCAGCAACGCGTTCTGCCTCATGGCCGCTGGGGGAAACCCCACCTACAAAGTGGTCATCCTAAACGCGTCCGTTTTTGTCAGGAAAGTCAAAGTCAGTTCGGGCGTTATGCTGGGACACATGAAAGCTCTGGAGAAAGGCACCGCCAAATACCCCATCAAACGCAATCTGTGCAAGATGGTGTCTGTGCCCCGCGGTAATCTAACCCTCACGCAGGACCACGTGTTTCTGGGTCAACTTCCAAACCGTATCGTAGTTGGATGTGTGACCAACGAAGCATTTAACGGACGGTATGGGAAAAACCCCTTTAATTTCCAACACATGAATATCAACTTTTTGACAGTTCACTTGGACGGGGAACAAATTCCCTATTCACCTCTGAAACCGAAATTTAAAGAACCGGGTAAGAATTACATCAGAGCCTACCAGACCCTCTTCTCCGGTACGGATAAAATGTACCAAGACGAAGGCGTCGCCATCACTCGTGACGACTATCCCGCACTGTTTGCGTTTGATCTGAGCCCCAACCTATCTGTGGGAGGACACTTCAATCTCGTGAGGCGTGGCAACCTGAGACTGGACGTCCACTTTGCCAATCCACTGGAGGCAACCATCAACGTCATCATCTACGCCGAGTTCAACAACATCATAGAAATTGACCAGGCTCGCAACGTCATCTTTGACTACAGCAGTTAAATTACACGTCGTCAACATGGACAGTTATCAAATCAGCAGCATTTTGAAAAATGATCGTTTTACCAAGCATTACTTCAGAGGCGTTTTTGCCTGCGATCAGCTGCCTAAGCACTACGTGCCCCGACCGAGCGCCCTCATTTTTAATACGGACCCATCCACGAAACCCGGTCAGCACTGGGTGGCCATTTACATCACGCGGGATGGGGAGGGAGAGTATTTCGATTCCTACGGACAACCGATGAATATACCCCGGGTCAAGAAATTCCTCAAGAAAAATGTGACGTGTACCCGCTACAACCACCAACCTCTGCAGGGACCACTGTCAGCCGTGTGTGGACAATACTCCATCTTTTTCCTGTTACAGCGTTGTCGGGGACTCACCATGTACAAAATCACGCTCCTGTTTTCTTCAGATAAACGAGACAATGACATACTCGTTAACGATTTTATACGAAAACATTTTCCTCGCGTAAATACATCGGTGTATGACGAACAGTTTCTTGTAAGGCAAATAGCCAGAGCTTTGTTAGAGAACTAGACTTCTACTAATGTTCATTATTATTACTGTTGGTATTACTATTATTATTATCCAGTAGTTGTAGCTGTTTTTTTTTAACTGTTTATTTATTTATTTTTAACTTGTTGTTACATGTACATTGTAGTTAGCATTGATCTGTTGTGAAATAAAATACTTATAAACTGTATATCGCCCGTTGACCACTTAAGGAATGTTCTGGTGAGTTCCAGTTGGTTTTAGGCATCCCGTGTCGACTTTTATTTTTGTGTATGTTTCCTCTTACCCCTATCACCCAACGTAGTATAAAAACTAATATCTATATACATATATTTTCAAAAAAATAAAACACGCGAGACAAATACAAACACACACAAGAGGCAGGTTCTTCTTTTGTGACTACAACATATCAGAATTGTTTTATTCAAGCAATCTTTTTATTAACCCTCCACCATAAACTTAACACGTAAATAAAAAAAATTAAAAAAAAGGGAAACAATTTAAAAAATAATAATAATAATTAAAAGGTAAGCAAACATTGTCGGGTCATTTACTCTATGATATCTGTGTTCTGAATGAGTTCGGTAGTATTGTCGAACAAAGACGAGTAGAAGGAGTAACCGATTTCTTCTAAATCATCCTTCCAATCATTTAAAATGTCTTCGATCAAATCACTCAATTCGGTGTCCAAGTTAATTCCTTCTCCGATGAATAAACCAGCTCCCAGTAGGCTAGCGACCGCTAGAAATATTGGTCGTACTCGTTTCTTGTCCAGCGAAGCCAGCACCTCCTCAAAGTACAAAGGTATATAGTCGTCGATGTGATTTGGGGGATTCCTACCAAAAATGTGCAAGCGTGCTCAAAAAGACTCGGCCAGTCCTTTTTACATCCCTCGCAGCCCAGTCGTTTTTGCGTATGATACACTAGCTGGAGTATCTCGTCCGTGATGAGTTTGGTCAGGATGCGTTTGGTGAGTGTTCTCACCCTTACCCGTCGGTCGATGATGTCCTGATTTGATGAGCCTGCGAGATGATTTCAAAATGAATAGAAAATAAGCGTGACACACTGAAGATCTAGATCATGTCTATGGCTTCAGCAATGAGTTTTCTTTGATCGACCAACTTGTACCATTCGGCGGATGTCAGGTTCAGTCCTTTTTTCCCCGCAAGTAGTTTAGTCTTGTCCTCGTTGAAGTAGTACTCTCTGATATTAACGTAGACACGGTTCTTGAAACGTTTGACACAGGCATAACGCTCACCTCCAATTTCGAATCTGACGGCGTTCTTCTCGTTCTCCTGCTGGTCGGGATCGGGGCTGAACTTTCTCTTGGTCGGCTTTCCCTTGATGAAAGGGGGCTTGGAGAGGTCCGTGGGTGGGTTACCCGTCAGCTCTGTCATGGCAGCCGCCAGCAAGTCCTCTGCCGGCCCGGAGTCCACCTCGCTTTCTTCCTGTTGCAGTAGGATGGTAGGTATGGACCACACACTCTCTCTTGTGAATATATTGTAATACATGTAGTAGGATCTATGTTCGGTGGTGCTGAAACCTTCGCGCCATCCTCTCTTGACTTGGGCATGGGTTAACTTCTTCACGCAGTCAAACGGTCCTTTCACCGACTCACTAGTTGGGGAAGACGGAGGTGCGTTGTTGCCTGATGCTGCAGCCATGATTGGTTTAGTGCAATGATGGTGATATTGAGCAGAATTTTGATGTTTTCGGTTGTTGGTAGGTGAATGATTTCCAAAAACAGCAGTGTCCGACTTTTATATACCCGATGTACCCGTATCCACAACAAGTCATGACTGTTTACCAATCCACCAATCTAAAAGCAACAAATGTTTCGTGTTCTAACTCGTCCAAAGGTCTCTCACTCATCGCGCTCTGCGTCCCATTGTTCGCAGTGCTCTTGTCACAACCGTGACGTCACCAATCACCGTGTAACTCCGGACTTGTTGGAGCAGGTCTAGGATCGAGGCTTGCGCCTCTGACCACTCCGTTCGGGGTCACTGGCGTGAGCTCACTGTCGCCACTACCGTGGCTCCGTAGGGAAGGGGGAGCCCAGAGCACTAGAGCCGTGCTCGCGACTTCATCGCTCACACGCTAGCCTCGAGACAAGTCTCGAGACTTACGCTACAGTCCCACTCCGTTCGGGTTATTAGCGTAAGGGCAATGTCGCCACTAACGTGGCTCCGTTAATAAAAAAATATAAAAAAAAATAAAATAAAAAATAATTAAAATTACAATTCTAAAAATATAAAAAAGAATTTAAAAAAATTACTAAATGAAATAAAATAAAAAATAAATGAATTCAAAAAATAAAAAAAAAAATTTAAATTTAAAAAAAATTAAAAAAAAAAATAAAAAAAAAAAAAAATTCCACCTTACTACCACCTCACTACCACCTCCACCTCACTACCACCTCCACCTCACTACCACCTCCACCTCACTACCACCTCCACCTCACTACCACCTCCACCTCACTACCACCTCCACCTCACTACCACCTCCACCTCACTACCTTCTCCACCTCACTACCACCTCCACCTCACCCGCCTCATCCGCCTCACCATCCCGCCTCACGCCTCACCTCGATGCCACCTCATTGGGGGTCGAGATGCTCAGTATATACTACTACAGAGAGTCCAGAAACGGAGACTGCGATTCAACCTCCACAGGCTTGGCCGAAAACAAATCGAGATAAAAATATCTATAAACTGTCGAAATTTCTTCCGGAGAGGAAACAATGTCCCCTCCAGGACTATAAACGGAAGAAATAGTTTTCTTCCGAGCCTGAGAGGTCTCGAGCTGGTAAAAATACCTGGACGGCTTCTCCCCTTCCTCGAGGTCACGAACCCCCGCGCGGATCCGAGCCCCCTCCGCTTCGAAGTCGTCCAGTTTAGCAAGCTCGTTTCTAATTTCCTCATGCCGAGCAAGAACCTCAGGGTTACATTGCCCGGAATTAAGAGCGGAAACGACTGAGCGCAGGGCAGCCACAAGTGACTCCCTGCGCCGTCGTCTATTTCTTACCAACCGGCAAGAAAAGGAAATAATAAATCGCTTAATGCGGGACTTGACGTCCTCCCACCAGAGGAGTTCGTTTCCGTACCCCTCCTTGAGAGTCCGCCAGCTCGCATAAGCCTTTCTGAAATCCGTTTGAAAGCCAGCGTCGGCCAGGACGGAAACATTACATTTCCAAAAAACCCGACCGGCGCCGGCAATCTCCGGGAAATTAAATTTCAAATCAACACAGTCATGGTCACTGAAATAGCATGGCGAATGCCCGCAAGACACGACACCCACCGAACTGGATGTGTAAATACGATCCAGCCGGCTAGTGATCGTGCTTGCCGCATTTCGCCATGTAAAAGAATGCGTGGACGGGTTGAAAGACCGCCAGCAGTCCTTAAAAGAAAAGTCGGAAATGAGGTGACCGAGCTCCGCGGCGCCGATCCAACAAGATGTGGAATCTGAACCACGGCGGTCAAGCTCTAAATCCAGGACACAGTTGAAGTCTCCTGCTAAAATAACAGGACAACTACCCGTCAAGAAAAAAGACAACTCCGTGAAGAAGAGACGACGCGACCTGAGGTCAGTCGGGGCATAAACTGTGCACAATCGCACACCCTTTCCTCCCCCCGGACCGCGCAAAATTCCAGAAACGATCCTTCCATCAGAATCGATGGAAAGATCAGAAAATTCAAAAGGACTTTTGGCAGGCAGAAGGATGACGGTCCCGCAGGAAGAAGATGTGCCAAAACTGGCAAAAATCTTCCCCCTCCACTCCGCCTGCCAAGAAACTAAATCGTCATTGCCAGAAATATGACACTCCTGAAGACAGGAAATATCATACTCCCGACAAAGACTAAAAACGCGTCTCCTCTTCACGGGGTCACGCATTCCATTGACATTCAATGAAAGCAAATTGACCATGATGTGCTAAAGTGAACATATTACTCGGGTGGATCACCTTTCGGTTTACCACCCGAGTCTAGAGTGGCAGCGGGGGGAGAACTACTGTCCCCCACCTGCTTGTCCGTATCCGGGCCCTGGGGCCCGGACCGGCTAGTTGTTTGTGTCCTCCAAAGGTGTTGTGCGGGGGACAGCACTAGGTTTGGATGAGCTTGTAGGCTCATCCACTTTCATCTCAGACTCAGATGAGTCTGAGAGACATTTCCCCGAGATTTTTTTGTGGACTGCACCCGAAGAGGGAGAATCGGAGTCAGAAGAGGGATGACGAGCCCTCTTCTTCATCTTCCTCTTCCCTCTAACGGGTAAAAAACCCACCGCCCCATCTATTGCAGCCGCCTGGCAGTCAATGGCGTCGCAAGACACCACGGGCTTGGCGTTAATACCCGTGCAGTCCGCGCAGCCGGCTACAATGAAAGGGCATAGCCCTCGAAATCCCACGGTCGCAATGGAAACATTCCCACGCGACCGGAGACTTCAGAGGGCCTACCTGCCTCGAGCATTGAATGCACGATGCTCGAGGCAATTCAAAATTCGAAGACTCGGAACTCTACGAGTCTGACAAATCAGACCCGGGAGTTACAGCTGGGTTGGACTTCTCCGCCGCCGCCACGTCCAAAACGGGCGTGGACTCGGGGGAAGACTGAGAAGACTCCAACCCACGAGATTTGGCAGGAGAGGATTCCGCTCCAACAGATGGTACTGGAGCAGACTTCCCCTGCAATACTACATCAGCCCACCGTTTGGTGGGCTCAACTTTCCTGGCGAAGGATTTGGGACACAGCTTAAAGCCATGCCCCTCCTCCTCGCACAAAGTACAAACCACCCTGTTGGGGCATTCCCCAGAAGGGTGGCCTACAAGCAAACATTTGTAGCACCTTACGGTACTACATTTGTTTGCCGAGTGTGTCGGGTCCCCGCACCGGGCGCACGTCCGGGTCTGGCCGGAGTGGCCGACCCAGGCGTTGCGGTTCCCAATGCGGAGAACCGACGGTATAGATTTGACACCCGACATTAAGTACTGTCGGGTGCCAGTGAATACGGCAGGTTCCTCAGGGTAGGTTTGGAATCTTCCCTTGTGGACCCTGCCGTACCTAGACAAGATGGACCGGACGATATTGTCGTCCACGTCCATCTCAACGTACTTCACAGTGACCAGCTTTAGGCCGAATGATGATACACGGCAACCTGGAAGCCGGTCTAAAACTGGCTCAAACTTTCGAGCTAGTGCGACCGATTTGAACGTCATGTCAAATCGGCCGCCAGGTAGAGGTTGCAAGGCCTCAAGATGATTGGCCGGGATAATCCCGACCCCCTTGAGGGCCTTGAAAACATCACTTGACGTCTCCTTGCCCCCAAAACTAAGTTCGAGGGCTCGGAGACGCCTGGCTTCGCTTGCGTTTGACGGCATGCTAAGCCGAGAAAGAAAAAAGAAAGGAAAAATCCGACTTGGATTTCTTTCACAAAAATAAAAAATACCGTTACAAGCTTGTAACGGTATTGACTATATTAAATATATACAACGAAGAGTGAGTCACAACTGCTGACTCACTCAACAAGAAGATAAATCACAGGTAGCAACTGCCTACCTGTGATTAAGAAAGAAAAATGAACGCGGAGCCCAGGCCCCGCAGACCCGAAATTCCCCACCGGTGTAGTGCAGAGAACCCCGAGCCTACAGGCCCGCAATACCCGCGCTACGGCTCGCTCCCCGCTGCCGACCCACCACCTAATGTAACGGCGGTAGTCGGCTTAACGGGTCACAAGCCGCAGCACAAGCACACGGGTCCCAACCCCGCAAACGCTACAGAAAGGACAAAATTCCCCCAACAAAGGACTTCACGGGGCTATGCACACGCACAGCCCCACCCAAATGAATAGGGCCGTGCACGCTGCCACGGCCTAAACAAAGAAACGCGTAGAAACGAATGGGCCGTGCACGCTGCCACGGCCCAAACAAAAGACGTGTACAAATGAATAGGCTGGCGTGTACAGCACTGCGTACACAGCCAGCAACGAAAAACCAACACCAAAAACACCCAAAATATCACCAAAAATGCAACGAAAATCTCTAAAAACTAGACCTACTTGGTCTATAAACCAAGACAAAAACGAAGATATCAAATTTATCCTCGGACTCGATCCAAAACTCGAATAGCTTCGCAGACAACCCGGAGCTCCGGAGAGGCGTGGCTGTCTGAAAAGAACAGATACTTATTTTTTAGGGTTCCCCCACAAGACCACAAGTGGGGAACCAGGCAGGCCGACCACGCCGGACCAAGCTAGTAGGGTTGCGAACCCTCCTGCCCGGGACAAAACAACAACACGCAAAACCCGAAGGTTTACATAAAACTGACAACATAGAAACGGCCCGAAGGCCACACACATAGGCCTGTACATTTGGGGGTGGCACTAGGTACCAACCACTTGCCAAATGCACAGAAAACACCCCGAAGGGATACCACCAAGGTAGGATCACCCGAACTGGCCGCCCTTGGGAAACCAGCCGGGGACCGCTTCGGGGGCGGGGCCTTACAGTCTCAAGGCAAAGTGCAATGCCGAGTCTGGACCTCCTCCTGATATTCCTGACCAAGACTTAGACCAAAGTGCAATGATCTTAGCCAAAAGGCCGAGAAGCGATAACGATTAATATTAAAACAATAGCGCGGAAAGGGATTATTCGCCTTGAAATACTGTTTGCTATTGTTCTTCTTATTATTATTAATTTGTGCTTTTTTGTTTCCTGGTGTGAAAAAAAAAAAGACTCCTGCGCGTCCACCGCAACTCAACGAAACCCGTGGAGAGAGAGAGATGAGCAAGAAATCTCCGGCTTTCTCAGATTAACAGAGACATATACATTCTTAAAAATATTTCTATCATGCATTTTCATACACCTCGATCAT